CAACAGAAGATTGTTTAATTTCCATGCTTTTGTGTGGGGTTGAACATATTTGTTGGAGTTGAGTTCCACCTTTAGTGCCTTGTGGTCTGAGAAGATACAAGGTAAAATTTCAATTCTTTTGATTCTGTTGAGGTTTGTTTTGTGTCCTAGGATATGAACAATTTTGGAGAATGTTCCATGGGGTGATAAGAAGAATGTGTATTCTTTATCTTTGGGATGGAATGTTCTATATGCATCTATCAAGCACAGTTGTTCTAGGGTCTCATTTAAGTCCCTTATTTCTTTAATTTCTGTTTAGAGGATCTGTCCAGCTCTGTAAGAGGAATGTTAAAGTCCCCTGTTATTATGGTATTATAGGAAATTGTATTGCTCAGACTGAGTAAGGTCTGTTTCAAGAATCTGGGAGCATTTAAATTGGGTGCATAAATATTTAGAATTGAAATATCTTCTTGTTATATTTTTCCCTTGACCAACATAAAGTGACCATCTTTGTCTTTTTTGACTTTAGTTGCTTTAAATTCACATGCATCTGAAAATAAGATTGCAACTCCTCTTTTCTTTTGAATTCCATTTGCCTGAAAATTTGTCTTCCAACCCTTAACTCGGAGTTTTAATTTGTCTTTTGAAGCTAGGTGTGTTTCCTGCAGACAGCAAATGGATGGCTTATGTTTTTTAATCCAGTCAGCTAATCTATGCCTCTTCAGTGGGGAATTCAAGCCATTGACATTTATTGAGATAATTGATAAGTGTGGTAGTGTTCTATTCATCTTATTTTGTGAAGAGACCATTGCTTAGTTTTATCTTTTGCATCATTGTGGAAGTTAGGTTCTGTCCTTTAATTTCTGAATTCTTACTTTGCTGTTGATCCATTGTGATGGTCAGTGTGTAGAACGGGTTGAAGTAATTCCTATAGAGCTAGTCTTGTAACAAATTTTCTCAGTGTTTGACTATCAGTAAATGATTTGATTTCTCCATCAATTTTAAAGCTTAGCTTAGCAAGAAATAGAATTCTGGGCTGGAAATTGTTCTGTTTAAGTAGATTAAATGTAGATGACCATTGTCTTCTTGCTTGGAAAGTTTCATTAGGAAGTCTGCAGTCACCCTGATGGATTTGCCCCTATGGATCAACTGGTGCTTATTCCTGGGAGCTTCCAGAATCTTTTCTTTTGTCTTGACTTTGGACAGGTTCATCACAATGTGTCTTAGAGAAGCTCGGTTAGAGTTGAGGTGATATCCCTCTGAAAGGCATGTGTCAGAATCTTTGGTGATATTTGGGAAATTTTCATTTATAATATTCTCTAGTATGTCTTCTATTCCCCTGGGGCATTCTTATTCCCCTTCTGGGATACCTATAACTCGTATGTTTGAACACTTCATAAAGTCCCATAATTCTGTCAGTGAATGTTCTGCTTTCTCTCTGTTCTTTTCTTCCTCTTTAACTATCTGAGTTATCTCAAGAGCTTTGTCCTCTAGCTCTGAGATTCTTTCTTCTGCATGGTCTAATCTATTGTTTAAACTTTCTATTGCATCTTTAAGTTCCCTAACTGACTCCTTCAGTTCCTTCAGCTCTGTTATATCCTTTCTATATTTTTCATATCATTCATCTCTTATTTGATTCTGTTTTTGAATTTCCTTTTCATTATTTTCCACTTTATCAGCAGTTTCCTTCATTGTTTCCATCATTTCCTTCATTGTTTTCATCATCTGTATTCTAAATTCTCTTTCTGTCATTTCTAACTTTTCTTTATAGGTGGAATCCTCACGGTCCCTTGGAGGGGTTGCTCTGGACTGGTTTTTCATGTTGCCAGGTTTTTTCTGCTGATTCTTCCTCATGAGTGATTTCTTTTGTCTGTTTCCTTGCCCTAATTTTCCTTTCACTTCCTCTTGCTCTTTAAGTTACTGTGCCTCTGGACTAGATTTTCAATGAGTCCTTTTGGTATAGGACCAAAAGGATGAGAAGATTGAAGAGGAAGAAGGGAAAAAAGAAAGAAAATAAATAAAAGAAAAAAGAGAGAGAGGAGAGGGGGGTGGGTTAAAGGGAATATTGACAAAAAGAAGAGAGGCACAGAAAGAGGGGGACAGGAGCAATATAGGTGTACAGTAAGGTACTTTGACCCAACCTTAAAAATCCCCAACCTCTGGGGGTGCTGGGTTGGATGATTCCTTTGAGGTCAGCAGCTCTTTGCTAGCCTGTCTGGACACAGTACTCCACCTCCAACCAAGTAGAGAGGAAAGAAAAAAATGCTATAAATCAAACCCAAACAAGTAAACAGAAAACTTTATGGGATAAAATTGGGGAAAGAAACAAATAATAGGGGGAGAAACACTAGCAAAAATGAAGTTCTAATTATTAAAAACGGTAACAATAGAAAATTATATTTGAACTAGAAAAATGAAGAAAAAAGAAAGAAAGAAAAAGAAAAATCTATAGGGAAAATGTTGAAATTAAAAAACAAAAACAAAAACAAAGCAGTATAAATATCTTGCTGAATATTGTCTGGGCAACAGGTGATCTTCTAGGGTATGAGATGTTAATCACAATGCTGATAACAGGAAACTGGAGGCCTCTCCTAATTTCTCAAACCCCGCAGGGTGGAGAGCCTAAATCTCTCCTCAGCCCACTTAAAAGGCACTTTAAACTGCTAACCTTGGCCAAGCAGAAGCTTTCCCAGGAAAGCACTTCTCACTGGGATCACTCCTGAAGTGGCTATCCACTTACCCAGTGTACCAAAACCAGTCTCACTCTATGCCCCTGAGGGCCAAGGCTGTAAGGCATCTCAGTCCCCGCCTTTAGGCTGCTCAGTCACTAGCTTACTAGCCCACGGCCCACCGTCAAACACTATTAGCTTCCTCTGGCTCAGCGGCTCAGTCTGGGGCCTTAGACAATGCTTAAACTCCTCTGCACTCTTGCTGAAGTTCTCTCAAGGTAGTTCAACTCAGTGTCAAGTCCAAAAGAAACCAAAACAGCTCACAGGTAAGGCCTTTCCAGATTGCAGTCTCACTGCTGCTGTACTTAAAGCTGCAGGCAGGATTAGACCAAACAAACACACGCAAACACACTTGCCAGTTCTCCACTGCTTTTGTCCTCCTTATGGGATCCAGAAGTCTCACGCTGACTCCCTGTGTCCCAAAAGGGATGTTTCTGGGCAGATCCCACCAGCCAGAGATGCCTGGAATCTTCTTTCCCCAGACTCAGTCTGCCCAGTTGCAAGGAAGCTGTTACTCAGGTAGTGAGAATTCTTAATGGTCATGTTTGGATCACTACCCTTTATTGGATCTGAAGGGGTGGGGTCAGCCTCATCTAATGGATTAGGATGAACCAAATGGATTAAGAAGAAGGGAAGCATCATTTCCTGATAAGATGCTGGGAAGAAAAAAATATGTCACTACAAAGGACATGATCAACAGTGCCAAATGCTGTAAGTAATATAAGAAGCAGAAAGTATACAGGAATTTAGATCCAATTGCTCACTAAACAATTTCTGTGTCTGAGAATGGAACCTAGACTGCAAGTAGATTGAGGAACAACTTGGATTGCTTCTCAGCTATTTGGCTAAGATCAAGTGTATTATCTGTTCTTATTAGTTTAATATCTGATATTTCTCTATCTGAGAAAGCAATATTAAGTGGATTTTTGGAAACGGATGGTGAGCTTGCTCTATCTACTACATGCATCATTCTGGTATTGCAGTACTTCCAGGAAAGGTGTACTGCCACTCTCAGTAAAAAAAAAAAATAAGAGAAAAACCTGTAGATAAAGTACAGACTGAAATGAAGGGTACAGCTATAGATGTGTAGTAACTTAATATCTACCCATCTGCTGTGGCTTGTTAGTAAACTCACACGTGAACTAGGGCATTCTCTCCCCTGCAGCCTGCTAGTGCTCCTCTAGTGTGCTTGGCTATTGTAGGTTGCTAGGCAATGATCCCACGCTTACATTGTCCCCACTAATACACAGAATGGAATTACACATGTGTTTAGTTACAAGTCTAGTCAAATGCTTCCCTCTCAGAGCCATAAAACCAAGAAAAGAAAAAAAGGCATGGCAGTAGTTAGGTTAATAAATCAGGATTTCGAACAAGCCTATCTGAAGCTGGTTTTTGACTGAGTGACCTCTGAATTCAAGGATAACAAATTATAGACCTGCCCCAGGGCAAATTAATTAAGAGGTTTAATTGAATATAGTTTCAAAGAGGTACTGTTTTGTTTTGTTTCTTTTCCAGACAGAGTCTCACTATGTCGCCCTCGGTAGAGTGCTCTGGCATCACAGCTCACAGCAACCTCAAACTCTTGGGCTTAAGTGATTCTCTTGCCTGAGCCTCCCAAATAGCTGGGACTACAGGCGCCCACTACAAAGCCCAGCTATTTTTTTATTGCAGTTGTCATTGTTGGTTAGCTGGCCCAGACCAGGCTTAAACCTGCCAGCCTCAGTGCATGTGGCTGGTGCTGTAACCACTGTGCTACAGGTGCTGAGCCTAAGAAGTACTGGTTTTTTTGTTTTCTTTTTAAATTTTTTTTAGAGACAGAGTCTCACTTCGTCACCCTTGGTAGAGCGTTGTGAGGTCACAGCTCACAGCAACCTCCAGTTCTTGGGCTAAGGCGATTCTCTTGCCTCAGCCTCCCGAGTAGCTGGGACTACAGGTACTTGCCACAACACTCGGCCATTTTTTTGTTGAGCCAGGTTCAAACCCACCACCCACGATATATGGGGCCGGTGCCCTACCCACTGAGCCACAGGTGCTGCCCCTGGTACTGTTTTTTTTTAAAGTAGGTCTGTGCTTGGACATTCCTAAACATATTACAGATAGGTTGATTAATTCACTTATACATTTGCTCAATAAATAATTATCATTCCTCATTATGTACCAGGCACTATGCTAACCACTAGAATTCTTGTTCAGGATCATCTTCCTATACTCTTCCTAGAATTAAGAGCCTTTCAAACCCTCCCCTGACATGTACACCTTGCCACTCTACTAACCTACTTTCCAACCTGCAGAGACCTATTCAGGCATTATGGACATAAATGCTTTCAACTAATAAGTAGGTACACAGAATTCCTTAAACATATTTTGAAAGGTCTAGTCTTATAAGTGACTTTTATCATTTTCTACTCTTAGTGCATGGCCCACAGCTGGGATAGCCTCAGTACAAAACCTATTTAAGAGTGTAAAAAGAAATGAATTAAATATAACACACATTGTAAGAAGCCTTAGCAGGCTCTTTCTTCACAGGGTGGCATATGGCATTAATGGCACTGGCTGCTGATAAAACGGGGCTAGTTGATAAGCTATATGATATTCTCTTTAAACACAGGCCCTCTATGAAACTTAGTTGCCCTTGTCTTATTATTCAGATTTCTTAACATTTGTATGATAAGGAAGAAGAAAAGCAGCACCACTAAACACTACTGGAATTAAAATTCAATAGATACATAAAAAGGCAGTTTCCTACAAAACTACATTAATCTAGGACTGTATAATCAAAATAGAACCAAGCAAACTGACAGTTTAAAAAAAATTCTCAAAATGGGTGGTGCCTGTGGCTCAGTGAGTAGGGCATGAGCCCCATATACCGAGGGTGCCAAGTTCAAACCTGGCCCTGGTCACACTGCAACAACAACAGAAAAAAATAGCCAGGTACTGTGCCAGGCGCCTGTAGTCCCAGCTACTTGGGAGGCTGAGGCAAGAGAATTGCCTAAGCCCAAGAGCTGGAGGTTGCTGTGAGTTGTGACGCCACAGCACTCTACTGAGGGCGACAAAGTGATGCTCTCTCTAAAAAATTTTTAAAAAAATTCTCAAAATGCAAAGTGAGCTCATAGCCTGAAAATGAGACTAATCAGGATAAAGAAATGAGAAATTGACATGGTGCATTTAACCACAGTATTTTCTATGCAAAGACACATATTTGAGTGCATTGTGGGAGTCTCTTGTCAAGATAACATGACTTTAATTTTGACAAGTACATAACAATGTTAAAGACATTCCCTTTGACATGTTGAAATTCCAATAACAGTTCCTGTTCCTACCTTGTATATACCCACACATACACACACATATTCACAAAGTGGGGATTATTAAATAAATAAATACACTGTGTTGCATTTGCTATCACAACAACCAACTGCAATGTTTTCTGTACATATCAAATACGGGGATGAATAGACCTAAAAAAATTAAACACACTTCCCTCTACCATACATTGAAAAGAAGTGAGAGAAAGTGAAAGTACAAGAACAGGATACACTACACTATGCTTGATAAATTACATGATGGAATGTACGTGAAGTTTGGCAAATTTGGTGCCACAAACTGATTAAAGTGAACACCTAATTAAATTTACAACAAATTGTACCTAGATCACAATTCTTTTTGGTTGTTTAAAATGAAAGAGTTAATTTATATACCTGGCCCAAGTGATTAAGGTAAAGGCAAAGAATATATATGGGGTATTGGTGGTAGAAATTTAGAGTGAGGAGGAAGTAAAATCTGAAAAATAAGAGATGAGGGCAAGTGAAAAGGGACAGATAGACTTGCCAGAAAGAAAATTTTGAAAGTTAGTGAAGATGTAAAAATAGTACTACATTTATAAGAAATACGAAGTAAGTGTTAGAAAATTTGGTTCTTATTTTTTTGTGTGTGTTTTTCTTTTTGTTTTGAGACAAAGTCTCACTCTTTTGTCCAGGCTAGGGTGCTGTGGTGTCTGTCAGCCTAGCTCACAGCAACCTCAAACTCCTAGGTTCAAGCCATCCTGCCTCAGCCTCCTAAGTAGATGGGACTGCAGGCACACACCACAGTACTCAGCTAATTTTTCTATTTTTAGTAGGGATGGGGAATCTCGCTCTTGCTCAGACTGGTCTTGAACTCCTGAACTCAAGTGAGCCTTGGCCTCCCAGATTGCTAGAATTATAGG